GCCCGTTCCACGTGTAAATCAGGAGTCACTCCACTGGGGCCCGTTCCCCCGTGTAAATCAGGAGTCACTCCACTGGAGTCCCTGGGCCCATTCCCCTCACTTCCCCCAGGGTAAATCAGGAGTAACTCAGCGAGGCTGCTCCTGTTTACACCAGCGCCGGGGGCTGCCCTTCAGCAGGGGGAGGACGGGGGAGGGCTTTGGAGAAGTGCCCCGGTCTGGCATGGTGCCCGCCTGCCGCACCATCTATTTAATCAGCCCGCCCCTGCCCACTCCCCAGCCAGCAGCTAACCCCGGCATCTCCGCGGCCAGGGACAGAGCTGCAAACCCACCCCCGAGCCCTCCGCTGCCTAGGTGAGAATTCCCTCTCCAGCCGACCCCGCCGTCCCTGCTCCTGCGCCAGCCCCTGCCCCTGCCCAGCTGGATTAAACCCAGTGCTCAGGGCAGGAGAAAGCCAGGCGGCGGGTGCCAGGGCCTCTGTCCAACCGGGGGACCACTGGGCAGGGTGGGAAGAGACTGGCTCTGGGAATGTCCTCGATCCATGGCTGGGCTCAGCGGGCGACGCTGCCAGCCCTGCTCGCTCGGGCGGGCACTCCCCAGAGACAGCTGCACAACGCCACGGCCCCCTACAGAATATCGGGGCTTCCTAGTGCGGGGGAGGGGGGTTCTCCCAGAGCTAAGGAGAGAACCCAGGAGTCCTGGCTCCCAGCCCCCCCTGCTCTAACCACTGGATCCAAATCCCTTCCCAGAGCAGGGGGCAGAAAAGCAGACTTTGCTCTGTGATGTTTCCTGTGTTCCAGGCTAGGTGGATCTGTCGCGGCTCCAACACCAGCCCCCCCACTCTCTCCAAAGCCATGGACGTTCGTCTTGTCTTGTGCCTCCTCTGGGCTCTCCTAGCTACAGCCCATGGTGTGTGGTGTGAGTTTCTGGGGGTCTAATGGATTAGAGTGGGGGTGGGGAGAGCCAGGACTCCTGGGTTCTAACCCAACTCCTGGAGGGGGAGGGGGGTATAATTGGTTCTATCCCCAGGTCTGCCAGTGAGCAAGTCCCTGCTCCGTGCCTCAGTTTCCCCCACTACTCCATCTATTTGACCGTAATCTCTTTGGGCAGGAACTGTTTCTCAAGGTGGGTCTGTGCAGCACCTGGCACGACGGGGAGCTGATCTCAGATGCGGTCTGTGCAGCTCTTAGGAAAGCATCACGTGGATTGTTCCCCTGAGAAAATCACCATGGGAAACGTTCCCATTTTCCAGACAGGGACCTTCCTGGTCTGGCTGCTGGAGGGAGTCAGCAGAAATTACTCTGCCTCCGCCCTCGAAAGAACTTGCAGGGGGGCCAGCCCAGCCAAAAGCGTCCCTGGGGGCCTGAGAACCCGGCTCACGGGATCTGAGCCACCCCGGTGGCCAGAAAACGACCTGGCGAGCCAGTAAATGGTGGGCAAGAAGCGGAGGAGGAATCATTGTTTGCCAGAACTCAGGAGAAATTCCTTTCACAGCACGTCCTTCCAGCTGTTACCAGAGCATCCCCGGGGAAAGCAGCATAGTGAGGAACTGTAGGAGTTGGGAAGATTCTTGCATCACTGCCCAGGAGGTGAACACTATCGGTACATGCCGTGGCACCGTGACCCGGAGCAAGACACGGGCTCTCTAGACCGCACATCCTGAATCAGCAGATTAGAGCAAAATCGTGGCGTTCAGCCAGGGCCATCCCAACCCATTTGGGTGCCCTATGCCCTTAGGGTCTGGGAGGCAGGGGCTGTGGGGGGGCACTTTGGGGGCCCCACAGGCCCAGAGTGGCCCAGGGAATTAGCGGGGGGCCGGGAGCAGCCTGCTCCACTTCCCTCGCCCCGGCCCCAGCAGTGTCGCTCGGGGGAGGGGGCTTGGGGGAAGGGATCCCACCCCCACTCACCAGCAGCAGTGGGAAGTGGAGCAGCTCGGCCCCAACCCGCTCTACTCAGCCAGCTCCCAGCCGCGGCGCTCCGCTTCCCGCCACCGGTGAGTGCAGGGTCGCTGGAGGAAGAGGTGGAAAGGGGGCGGGCTGGGGGTGGAGCGGGGGGAGGGTAAGAGGGAGTTGTCTGGGGCCCCACACCCCCCTAGGGTCGGTCTTGATCCTTGCAGGGGGTCCGGCCGAGGGATAGGGCTGGTCGCCGGGGCTGGTGCTACCACCTATGCAGCATGCAGCTGCCTAGGGCACCATGAAATTTGAAGCAATTTGGTGCCCCAAATGTCATGGTGCCCTACGCAGCTGCATATGCTGCGTATGCCTAAGGCATCTCAAACGGGTTTTAACTCCCAGCCCCTTGGCCCTAGCGGGACCCTGTCAACCCCCCCCCCCAAAGTAGAGAGCCCCAACTGCCAGGCTAAGGCCCGTGGGATCCCACCACTGCCACCAGTTTGAACACACCGTCACTCCGTGTGGGGGGGTTGGATCAAACACTGAGGCAGAGCTATGTGGGGCAGGGTGTGTGGCCTTAATCCAGCTGTAGGGAGCCGGCGGGAGGTTGGGGTTCGGGCGCTATCTTGCTTTCACCCCTTGACAGCCGCTCCTTCCCCTCCCCACCAGAGGGCGTGGTGAACACGGGCGTCTTCCAGTCCTGCATCCCCAGCCAGTTTAGCCTGGAGGGCGACCTGGACTTCGAGTTCGGGGAAGGCGTCTACGTGAGGGTCCACTCCGAGATCTGCAGAGAGACCAACTGCAACACGGGGGAGATAAAGGAACGTACGTACCCGGCCTGCGCCCGCCCTCACCCTGGCACCTTCCCTTTCCCTCTGCTGCCCTGCACCCCTGGAGATCAGGGACCCATTGCACCGGACGCTGCCCAGCCCCCCCAACCGAGATCAGGGGCCCCCCATCCTGTCGGGCACTGCCCAGACACACAAGGAGACACAGCTCCTGTCCCAACGAGCTTCCAATCTGAATGGACGCAGGCAGGATCATTCTCACCATGTTCCCGTTGGGGAAACTGAGGACCAGGAAGGTCCAAGCTCCCCTGGCCAGTCAGCGGCGGAGTTGGGAGGAAGAGAACCCAGGCGTCCTGAGGCCAAGCCCTGTGCCTTCACCGCAGCCCACCCGCCCTGGAAACGCCGAGACACAAGGAGCGGCGTCCTGCTTCAGCCCCGATTCTGATTCCCCGCTCTTTGTCCACAGGCCCCCAAATCAGCACCGTGCCCAACGGAAGACAGTGCCCGTCGTGTTATGCCCTAGGATCCAACCACTGCCGCCACAACAAGATCCTGCACTGCCAGGGGGCTGCCAACCACTGCATTGACATCACCGGGACGCTGTCAGAGAGTGAGTTCCCCATAGGCCCCCCCAGGCCAAACCTGCTCAGGGGACACCCGGGCCTGCCAGCAGGCACTGGACCAAGCGCCCCCCCCCAAGTGGGGCAGGCTGCAGGGCACGCGGGCGGGGCTGGGGGGAGAAACGGCCTGTGTTCAAAATCTGCAAACGAAAAAGGGGTCCAGCGGGCGGATGGTTCAGAATGACTTCATCTTCTCCCCCTTTTCTTCTTCCCCTCTTCCCGCCTTCCCCCTCCGCCCTTGGGGTCGCTGCCCCGTGGCGGGGGAAGCCCCAGCGCCCGGACCCCGCTGCGGCCCTGGGACTGCAGGAGTCTCACTCCCTGTGGGGCCGTGGCGCAGGGACAGAGCTGCTCCGGTCGTGGGGCCACAGTGGGGCAGGGCTGGCCTTACCATGAGGAGAACTGAGGCAGGCGCCTCAGGTGCCCGACTTGGGGGGGGGGCACCACTAGGACCCAGAGTGCAGAAAATTTCAAAGTTTTGGCCCAAGCAAGGGGCCTGGGGGTGTCATGTGAGCTCTCTGCCTCGGGTGCCAAAATGTTGTGGGCGAGCCCTGCAGTGGGGGCGGGGACAGAAAGGAGCAAACAGGTTGTGGGGCGGGCGGAATGTGGGGCGGGGCCCTGGGGAAGAAGTGGAAAGGGATGGGGCTGTGGGCGGGGCCGCGGGCAAGAAGTGGAAAGGGATGGGGCTGTGGGCGGGGCCGCAGGCAGAAGGGGCGGAACAGGGGCAGGGCCCCCCACTTGCTCTGGCCCAGGGCCCCAGGAAACCTTAATCCTCCTCTGCTGTCTTGTCTGGTCTCTTTTCCCCTTTCTTTTCCTTCTGTCTCTTTCCTCTTGTCGTCTCTCCTTCCTGTCCGTTTCCTCCTCCTTCCCCCTTCCTGACCCCCCCCCCTTTTCCTGGGGCTTTTCGAAATGGCCCCAGGCCAACTGGAATTGTCCCCTTTCCTCATCCATCCCCCCGCTCCGGCCAGTCGTCTGTCTCCTGCTGGCGTCTCTTGTTTTACACGGAGACTGGAAGACCTGGGTGGCAGATGCTTGGCCAGCGCCTGGGGCAGTGGGGCTCTGTGCCCCCCCCCATGCCAGGGGCTCTCTGCCCCCCCATGCCGGATAATAATGCCAATTTCTCTGGGCAGAAAACATCAACATCGAAACCCCTTTCGCAGCCAGAGGATGCGCCACCAAGGATGTGGCCAAGATCAAAGCCGGGATGTGCCTGGTGTCGGGCGTATTCATCTATCAAATCACGACCATCCAGTTAAGCCCGGCCCCCAAAATGGAGTCCGTGGACGGCTTCTGATGCCCTGCTGAGCTCCATCCCACTGGCACACCCCCGCTTCGAGCTATTCCCTCCCACTCCACCCCCAGGCCTGTCCGTGGCTGGCCCCCCAGCTGTGACTCAGTTTCCCCCCACCCAAGGGTGCCAAGCCCCCTTCATAAAGCGCTTTGAGACCCATAGGTCCAGGGCCCAAGCCAGAGACCCATTATGGGCTTTGCACTAAGCGTGATGAGCTTAAAAACAGGCCTGAGTATTAGAGACCCATTAGCAGCTTCTCCCCAGAGTGTGCTCTGAGGGGTAGAGCCCAGGAGTCCTGGCTCCCAGCCCCCACTGCTCTAACCCACCAGCCCCCACTCCCCTCCCAGAGCCAGAGAGAGAACCCAGGAGTCCTGGCTCCCAGCCCCCAATCCCCTCCCAGAGCCAGGGAGAGAACCCAGGAGTCCTGGCTCCCAGCCCCCCCTGCTCTAACCACTAGTCCCCACTCCCTCCCAGATCCAAGAACAGAACCCAGGCATCCTGCCACCCCTCCACCCTCTGTTCTCACCCTCTGTATTTCCACATGCTAATGCATTGAATAAAGCTACATCATAAATCCAAATTCCCTGCAGAGCGCTGTAGGGGCCATAAGGAAGCCGACCTAGCCATGGTGTAGCCAGCGCTGAGTCGACAGGGAGAAATCAGACGTCCCAGCTCCCACCTCTCGGGGAGATGGACTAACTCCGGCAACAGACGCACCCCACCCTCGGCATAGTCGTGTCTACACTGAAGCGCTACAATGGCACAGTGGCCGCATTTCAAGTGGACACTAGGGTGGCCAGTTGCCTGGTTTTCGACCGGAAAGTCCAGTCCAGTCAAAAAGGGAACCTGACAGTGTCCGGTCAGATCTACTGACCGGACAGCCAAAGTCTGCAGGCGGGGGAGGTAGGGAGGCGGTGGGTCATTGCCCGCGCCAGCCCCTACTGAGCCGGGGCTGCCTCTGACCTTCCCTGGGCAGCTGCGGCTCCCAGCCCCAGTTCTGCAGATGAATCCTTCCTGACCCCAGCTGGGGGGTGGGAGGAGAAAAGCAGTGAGCGAAGAAGGGACGGGGGGGAGAAGAGGAGTGGACAGGGTGGAGCCTCGGGGAAGAGGCAGGGCAGGGGTGGGGCTTTGGGGAGGAAGAGGCAGAGCAGGGGAGGTTCCAGCACTCCTGTTGGAGTGTCCAGTTTTTAAATATTACTAAGTTGGCAACTCTAACAGACAAGCCCTTAGAATTCAGGACGCTCACACCCATGAACCATCCAAAACCAGAGAGAGACAAAGCAGGCTGCTCCCTAAGGCCGCGAGGCCCAGCTCGCCCCCTCCCTTTTCTCTAGGCTGGCTCTCCACAGACTGACTCAGGCCATGTCCATCCATGCAGTGCCCCCGAGCCTGCCAGCAGGACCGGGAAACCCCCAGAGCATTTCAAGGATGGCTTGTCACTGTACCCCTGTTTCCAACATGTCCCCAAAGGGGGAATGGAAGGAACGTTGGACAGAAACTCCAGCCTCCACTGCCCCTGGGTGCAGGTCCAGGTGGGGTGCAAGAGGGGCAGCAAAGAAACCGCTGTCTGGAAAATTGGCCACTTTGTCGCTCTGTGCCTCAGTTTCCCCTTCTGTGCAGTAATCTTTCCTTTATCTGTTTAGGCTGGAAGCTCTCCAGGGCAGGGGCTGGCTCTCAGTGTGTGTCTGGGCAGTGCCTGACACGACATGGGTTCTGTAGAGGAGCAGACTCACCCCTGCGGCGCCTCCTGCTGGTGACTCTGGGAATTAGCTCTTCCAGCATCCTGGAGCGTCCTCTGCAGGCCAGTGGTCTGCCTGTCCTCTGGCCCCATGTCCCTCCCAGGACCCCACTGCCCTTTTATCTGGGGTGCCACCCCCTGGCAGCACACCCCTCAGTACTAGGGTCTCCCCCCCCCAGGGAGCCCCCACCCACTATCCCCACCTCACCTCAGAATAAGGCCACTGCCAGTCACCAACTAGCCCCCGCTCCCTGGGGCAGACTGCAGTATAGGCCACTCATCACAGGCAAGGGTGGGTTTGGACCTGCCGCCTTGGCCTACCCCTGGGCTGCCCCCGGCAACCCCCAGTACCCCTTGGCCTTCTCCTAGGCCGCAGCCAGGGGCTATCCAGGCTGGAGCTCCCCTGCTCCTCTGGCTTTCCCCAGCCCTGCTCCACCCAGGTACTCTGTCTCTAGCTCCCTGCAGCCAGGCCCCTTTCTCTCTGAGCGCAGAGAGAGACTGTTTGGGCTCCTGGCTCACAGCCTTTTTATACAGGCCAGCTGGGGCCCGATTGTGGCGTGGCCCAGCTGCGGCTGCTTCCCCAGTCAGCCCAGCTTTTGGGGCTGCAGCCCTCTGCAGGGCTGCTTTTACCTCTGCTATTTTAGGAGCGGGGTAGCCACCCCGCTACAGGGTCCCTGATCTCAGTCAGGGGGTCTGGGCAGCACCTGGCATAATGGGGACCCCCAATCTCAGTGGGGTCTGTGGCCCCCAGCACCCCATTGTGACACTGTACCCCAAAGCAACAGCCCGGCACCCCCATATTTACCATGGTGATAGCATTATGATGTGGTTTGTGCGCAGTCTGCCTTGTGAGGGATCATTCTAAAAGTCTTGATTTGCTGAGCATTAATACCCTGTTGGATTGGATGCGGCCGCGCTGTATGGGGAATTACCGCGTTTTGCTACGTGTGCGTTACTGAAAGAGGTGGTGAGGTTGGGAACACCCACAACCAGCCTTTCAGGGGCAACAATGGATAGGGCCGGATTAACCTTTTGTGGGCCGGCGCCAAACACATTTGTGGGCCCCCATGGGGCAATGGAGCCTGGCACGGGGAGGTCAGTCCCTGGAGCGAGGGGCCAGGCAGAGGCAATGGGGCACGGCAGCGGCGGCCCCGCTCCGCCCAATGCGAGGGCACTAGTTACAAACCGCCAGTTTCCAGACACACAGTGGCCTGCCCGGACCTGTGCTGCCAGCCTGCCCCTTCCCCTCGGGTGCAGGATAATGCCACACCATACAACCCCCCCCCCCAGCCCAACACCCCTGACTCCCTATGGCCAGAGGCCCCCCAGACCCACCCAAAAATGCACAGTGCCCTGCACAACACCTCCCCTGCCCACAGCCCCACCACAACTACCCAGCCCCTGCACCCCCCACAGGCTCCCCACTCCCCTAGTGCCCCAACACATACAGATCCTCCCCACCCCTTCTGTGACGAAGTGGGGGGGTTTTCTTGGTTTTCCCAATGGTTTGCATGCAGAGGGGGTGGGACTCAGTGTCCCTGGGTGTTACTGGTTTAACGAGGTGATCAGAGAGGGAGTTTGTTGGTACATAGGACCAGAGAGGGAACTTGGGAGCCCATCCGATGGCCTGGAGGACGGAGACCCCAGCGACTGGTGACCTGGTGACCCGGAGGACCAGCTCGGGAGTCACAGCCAGTTCTGGGCAGGGGGAGGACAATGGGCTGCGGGGAGAGGACCCCGGTGACCTGACCAGCCGGTTCCAGCCCGAGGGGCCAGAGGACAGGAGAGGGGAGAGGAGGCCCAGGCGACCCTGTTTCCCTGGAGAGAAGACAATGGACCGATGGGGGGCTTGGGGCCGGGGGTATCAGATGCCCAGCTGGGAGCAGGGGGGCTCTGGGCTGGAGAGGGGAAGCAGGCAGAGCCCACCTGGATGCAGAGAGACTGGGATGTGCTGGGCTGAGGGAGGCCAGGCCTGAGGCCCTGAGAGTTTCTTGTGCTGTGTTCAGATGCTCAATAAACCCTTCTGAGAGTCGCTCCAGTCTAGAGAACAGGGCGGGGGGTGGGGGGGCATTATTCCCTCGGGGAGTGGAGGCCCCGGGGGCCCAGAGCGAGGGGACTCCCTGAGGGGGCCCACGGCAGAGACAGACGTGCTGAGGCTCAGAGAGGTGCGGCTCCAGGAGGTGGAGGGGCCTGACCCCGGGAGAGAGGGACTGTCTCACTGAAGGGGGTTCCCCCATGGACTACACAGGGCCAAGAGTGGGCACGATCTGTGAGTCCGTGACAAGGTGGCAGCAGAGGATGGTTGGCGGATGCACCCTGTAGTCGGTTGGCTGCGGGCGCAGGCGCTTTGCAGTGAGTGGCTGCCAGCGATAGAACGAGGGTATTGAACGGAACCAGCCTGGAAATGGCCTAGAACCAGCTCCGTACGAGCGACCTGGCCCGTCTGTGCAGGGAGAGGGGGCTGAGCGTGGGGAGGCTCCCTAAGGAGCGGCTGATTGCTCAGCTTGTAGAGAATGACCCGTCTGAGGCGCAGGCTCCAGATGTTATACCAATAGCATGGATCTTATTAAGAGGGATAAGGCAAAGATGCCACATTTATTGTAAATATAATGATAAAGCAAAAGATAAAAGTAAACAACGTTGTTTGACTACTTATTTCTTATACACACACACATACATATATATATAGAGAGAGAGGGAGAGAGAGAGATTCATTCACACAATCATTCATTCAAGTTCTGTATAGGTGTTATAGTTACCAGCCTAGAAGTTGCTCATGCCAAGTTACTGGCCAGGTATCTTGGTCATGAGGATGGAGCCGAGTCCGTGTCAGATGCACCTGATGCTCCTGGAGGCTGGCAGCAGAACCAGAGACTCAAAGTCCTCAGTCTTGAGAGTCCATTCTTATAGGATTTAATTCCTGTGTTAGTCTATGGGAGCTGTTTCATCCTGCTGTTGCTGACTCAATCAGCAGATGGCACATTCCTGTCCAAAGTGGCACATTCCTGGTGGCTCCACACTGTCCAAAGTTTGTGTTTCTCATCCTTCCAGGTGATGGGGTGGATCCCAGTTTACCCTCCGGGGGTTTTCTGGTCATCCACTTGACACATTCTTCGGCCGATGGATACTCCCTTTCTAGGCTGGCACCTCCCTAACCATCCATGTATATCAAGCATTCATCAGCATACATTCCATATCTTAACCATATTTTAATTTACTGTCTCCACCACTTTCAGGGTGTGTGTGTGCTAATTCATTTGAGATTCCCGGCCCTTTAATCACAGAGGGTGGGGGGTCTGTCCTAGGAGCCATTGAATGAAGTGAAAGTCACCTAATGGCTTATTGTGTTTGTTTGCATTGTCTCAATTACTTCAAGAACAAAGTCAGTTAACTTGTTTGTAAGTTTTACATAGTAGTAAAGTATCTTTCACAGGATAGATATAATCAATGGTTTCTACAGACAGTAGCTTACAAGTTTTAACAGAAGACCCAAGAGATTTTTGTACTTGGTGAAACTGTTGGATTTTAAAGTGTGGGTGACAAATTATGAGGGGGTCACTGTCACTTGGGGGAATCACTGTTAGTACCTTCTTTAATATCCCTACACA